CTCCTTTTATCTCTCCATCCATCTTTCTCTCGCCCGCTTTTAGCCGGTCTAATTCAAGGTTACCACTTTTTAAACATCTATCACCCCCCCCCCCCCCCCCCCTTTTTTTTTTTCTTTTTACTTATTGCTCATTCCGTTCACAGACATTTTGTGTCACCATTTCCTCATCTCTTTAAACATTCATCAGGTAAATTTCAATCAACATGAGCTCTTATTTCTCCCCTGCAATATAAAATGGATGCATTGCATTTCAAGTAAAATCAGTGTCAATGACTTTTATATTCACCCTTGCACCGGGTTGCGCGGTTGCACCGCCTGCTACTGTTGCTGTTTGTTTTTAGTTGATTGAATCTGGAATGTTATTAGGAGTGACTCTGAGGCTGGGGCCATGGATTTATGGATAGCGCAATATCTCCCCCAGGAACCCTTTGAAATAGGATTGACTTTGGAAGGCATGTCTAATTATGGTTTTGTACAAGGATATATTCACTAAGGGCTGTTCAGAAAGCCCTGCAGATGCAGCCTTGAAGGTCTCAGTTGCGACCATGTAGATGGTCAGAACGTCCGCCCGTCTCAAGCTCTGCAAGGATATCAAGCTGTTTCCTCCAGGGCAGGGCATAATGAGATTTGAAATAACAGACCTAAAGAATAGACAGTATATTTGTTTTCCTGTAGCCCACCATGCCAGGGCAACATTTAAATTAGTTATGTTTGCATTTGTGTGTGTGTGTGTTTGTGTGTGTGTGTGAAACAAGTACATAAAATCAGATTTCAAGTCAGCAGCATACTGAAACACATTGCTTGAGCCTACATTGTTTATTTATTTCATCTCCAACTCTGACTTTGCTGTCTGCGTTTTTATAAGTTGAAGACCTGCAACATGATGGGGTGCTGATGGGGCAGTGGATAAGACACATACCTTTGGTGTGAGAGACCTGGGTTCAGTCTCCACTGTGACACCCACCGATGTGTCCCTGACACTTAACCCTAGTTGCTCCAGAGGCATGCGACCTCTGACATATATAGCAATTGTAATTCGCTTTGGATAAAAAGCATCAGCTAAATGAAGAAATGTAATGATCACACAGGTCTCTGCAGGCATTCACCATTTAAGATACCAAGATAATGTCCTAATAAGTCTGGGAAATTGGGGGTCTAATGACATAGATAGATAGATAGATAGATAGATACTTTATTTATCCTGAGGTAAATTCAAGTATCCAGCAGCATACGAAACATACATATATTAAACATACATTAGACCTATATTAAAATAGAATTAAAATTAAAATAACTTATAACACAGTAAAACAGTGCAGAATGGAGTGCAGATGGAGGTAGAAATTGTTCTTTTGTCTATTGTCCTCCCTGCCATGACTAGGAGCTGTTGTACAGTCTGATGGCCAGGGGGAAGAAAGAGTTTTTAAGTCTGTTGGTGGAGCTGGGCTGGGACAGCAGTCTGCCACTGAACACACTCCTCTGCCAGATGAAGGTGTTGTGCAGAGGGTGGTGGGCATTGTCCAGTATGGACAGCAGTTTGTCCAGGGTCCTTCTTTCTGCCACTGTCACTAGAGAGTCCAGCTCTGAGCCCACCACTGAGCCAGCTCTCCTCACCAGTCTGTCCAGTCGACCGGCGTCTCTCTTCTTGCTGCTTCCTCCCCAGCAAACTACAGCATAAAAGACTAACCTCTGAGTAAGCACCAGAAACATTTTGAAAAACAAAACAAATTGTCTCTTGTTTAGAAAAAAAACAGAAATGCACAACCCATCAAAATTGCATTTCAGTCAGGCATTGATGATTCTACTTGTAGAAAAGAATCATGCTGGCCACTACAGACTGGTAAAACATCTGCAGCAGTTTTTTGCAGATGTTGAAGGACCCCAGTCTTCTCAGGAAGTACAGACGGCTCTGCCCTTTCCTGTGGAGAGTGTCCATATTTTCTGTCCACTCCAGCTTGTCATCCAGCTGCAGCCCCAGATATTTGTAAGTCCTGACCACCTCCATATCGACCCCCGATGGACAAAGGTTGGAGATGTGGTTTCTTCCTTCTGAAGTCCACCACCATCTCCTTGGTCTTGGAGGTGTTCAACTGCAGATGGTTGGTCCTGCACCACCTCGAGAAGTCCTCTACCATGCTCCTGTACTCCTCCTCCTGTCCATCCTTGATACAGCCAACTATCACAGTATCGTCTGAGTATTTCAGCATGTGGCAGAGCCCGGTGTTATACTGGAAGTCAGATGTGTACAAGGTGAAGAGGACAGGAGAGAGCACGGTCCCCTGTGTTGCTCCGGTGCTGCTGGCCACAGTGTCTGACGTGTGGCCATTCAGTCTGACGTACTGTGGTCTCTCTGTGAAGTAGTCCGTAATCCATGTCACCAAGCGTGGGTCCACCCTCATCTCTGTCAGCTTTTCTCTTAGCAGGATCGGCCGGATGGTGTCGAAGGCACTGGAGAAATCGCCGCTCACCTTGTCCAGATGTGAGTAGGTCCTGTGGAGAATAATGAGGATGGCATCCTCCACGCCCACCTTCTCCTGGTATCCAAACTGCAGTGGATCTTGTGCTTGGTGAACCTGGGGTCTGAGGACATGTAGCAGCAGCCGTTCAAAGGTCTTCATGATGTGTGATGTCAGTGCTACTGATCTGAAGTCACCCGGCTCCCTGGGGTGTTTTTTCTTGAGAACCTGGATGAGACATGAAGTCTTCCAGAGCACTGGGACCCTCCCCAGCTGCAGGCTCAGGTTGAAGACATGCTGGAGTGACTCCCCCAGTTCAGCAGAACAGGCTTTAAGTATCCTTGGACACACTCTGACATGAATGTGTTTAAGACTGTTTAAAATAAAATAAAAAAACTAAATGAAATCAAGGGGATTTGGTATTACCTACCAGAATTACATACATATCAGTGTAGAGAAGGCTTTGAAAAAACATTAACAGTTAAATTAATAAATCAAATGAAAATTTTGTGATTTCCTACAATACAGTTTGGTTGTTAACTGCTAAAAAATTATTTAAGTTGGTGGTTTTCGGCATGGGGACTTTGGATTTATTTAACACAGATTACAGCCCTGCTGATATGCTTAACTTTGAGAGTTTATGCTCCACTAACCTCTGAGTAAGCACCAGAAACATTTTGAAAAACAAAACAAATTGTCTCTTGTTTAGAAAAAAACAGAAATGCACAACCCATCAAAATTGCATTTCAGTCAGGCATTGATGATTCTACTTGTAGAAAAGAGATTTGTTTGTTCTGTAGTTGCATCTCACCAATAGTTTTCAGCATTGTTTTCTGGGGCTGTGCTTGATCCTCCCACCGCGTTGTATGAGGAGTAATTGATGCCAGAGAAAACTAGAAAACTAGAGAGAAAGGTCAAGTAGAATTGCCTACAGAACATACATATATGTAGAACATATATATATATATATAACTCAACAGCCTTTTTTAAGACACTGTATTTTAAATATAATTCTGTAAAAATCAAAATGGGTGTAAATGGTGTAAAGAATGTTTTTCATGTTTGTTCAATGAACCTTTAACAATCAATGAACATGCACCTGTGAAATTGTTATTTAGACCCTAACAGCATACAGATGATGGCAATTAAGGTCACAGTTATAAAAACTAAGAATACTAAAGAGACCTTTCTACTGACTCTGAAAAACACCAAAAGAAAGTGAAATACATGACTTAATAATAATAATAAAGATAGCCCTCATCATTTCTCTACTGAAAACATTCATTACCATACTTGCTAACCCTCCCATTTTCCATTGCCCTCTCCCGGTTTCCTCTTGAGTCACAAAAGTATGTTTAGTATTACAGTAATGTTAAGTGAGTGGTGGAGGCTATGCTGTTGACAGACTTGATTGCAGATTAATTTCTGAAACAGTTTAGCGAACGGTCCTATCATTTTTCCCTAGTTCATAACTTCTATAGTTAATAATGGATCTTTAAATCTTTTTTGCAGTTTTGACTTGTATTTAATATATTTAGTTAAACTTTTGTTCAGCAATCTGTTATGTTATCTTGGTGAGGTCTCATAACAATAAATGTTAGGGATAATCTTTGTTTATGTTATGTGTTTCTGAAAAGAATATCGGCTGATATATCGGATTTTAAAATCCTCAAATATTGAAATCGGTATCGGCCGTAAAAATCCCATATTGATCAGGCTCTTAATGACACTACAATGTTTGATAAAAGGCTTTTTTCATTTACAACTGTTTGGACTGCTGCTGTTAGCCTATTAGCAGTGCAAGCTCCCACAGTTGCTGTTTACAACCCCACCCATGGTAGTAACTGTCCCTCCCATGTTCTGCAACATCACTCAAGTGAATTTCAGCAGGCCGAATTTTAGTGCGTCTGCAGCAGGGATCCAAAGCTGTGTACCAATACCATCACTACATATTAATGGATAATTTCGGAATTTTTAAACCCGGGCCCTATATTCACATATTTTGTTGTCGACATGACTAGTAAGTACAAAACGTTTTGGAATCCGTGCAATAGATGGTAAGTAACTGGCTGCAGTGGCTGCAATGTATCCCTACGGGGCAATTGCGCTCGTCAAAATTATCTTAATTGTAACCAGTAATGAAGTAGAGCCACACTCAGAAACTACTTAGACAAGCAACACAAAGGTGAATTGTATGCTTTATCAGATGTGTTTTCTTACATTACATTTTGGTTTTACAAGAGAGAAAGCTTCAAGGAGGCCTATGCGAAAGTAGGCTACTGGTTAGTTTTCCATATGCACGTCTGGTTAGCCACCTAACTTTCGATAAATAGTAACGCTTTCCTAAGCTTTTTCTGTAGGAAACATCCCTGACTGGCTGAAGAATACTTGCTAGGCTTAGACAGACTAAGTGGTAAGACTCAGCAGTGGTAAGTGCTTGGTTGAAAAATATAAACTTGCATCCTCCAATGGAGAAGCCGGTGTAAGTGAACATACTGCCTCTGCGTGGCACTGATCTCTCCTCATACTGAGGCAGCGCTGCCCTGTACACGCCGCTCCTGCAAGCTGAACCAGGCGGTTACACTGATGGCTCGTATTTCTGTTGACTTTCACATTATGTTGTTGGCTGTCGCGGTGTGTCTCGCCTCACTTGGCCTCTCTCCATCCCCTGGCCGTCTGTATGAACGGACTGACTCAAGGTAAATGTCCGGAGTGTGAAATCAGCAGATCCGTACCCGCCTGATTGGTGCAGGCGGTGAAGGCTCTTTAAAACCTCCATCTCTGCCCGACTGAGAGTCGACTGGTAAGTTGAGTTTTACATCTGATGGAGGCAGTTTATCAGCGTCATTTTGACCTAACATAAGATGGTTTTTTTACTTAAATTTAAACAAAGCATGGGTATATTTTAAACTATGTTTTATAGGCATTTATCTACGTGTTTTATTCTGATGAGTTTTATGATGTTGTTAGGTCTATGATGCCCGTAAAGAAGACATGCTGCTGAATTCCGACGTGTTGTTAGTTGGACAGAAATATTTTATTATTTTTATATTTTACACTTACTATAATCCATTTGCTACACCCGAACTTGTTAACGCACGCACTTCACGTCACGCGCACGGGGGCGAGCAGTGCGTGCGCAGAGAAGCAGTTCGATCTCGTTCAAGGCTCAATCATAAATTATTAAACTTGTGGATTCATTCACTTTCACACACCGTGGCCGTGAAAGACAGGGCAAGTGTTACACTTTATTTCCAGGAAGAGGCTGTCCGAAATATTATTAAACATTTATTTTCCAGAAGAAGATAGTTTAACACTTTAATGTCTATTTATGTATGTGTAGTATGCTGTGTGTAGGAATGGCCTGATCATCACAAGAATTATGCCTTAATTAAACTATATTGATTAGGGCATTATTTCATTATTAAATTACAGATTATATTCTTAATTAGCCTAATCGACAATGTTGTTTATAAACTGTCAGAAAATTGTTAAAAATTTCTATCTCATCTTCAAAGTGCTTTTATCCAACCAACTGGTTACTATTAGAGATGGCAAAGAACAGCAGCTAATCTCATGTTTAAAACTGCAATGCAGAACTTCTGTCTCCCCCTTCTGACAGTGAAAGTATGTAGCACAATATTGTCTACAGGTGCTTGTGACATATAGGCCCTGCCATACTGAGTTGCTGCTGTTAATAAGTTTGCGCCCAGTTTAGTGGAGTTTATTTACTTGGAAAAATTACAGAAGCTATGAATCCATTTAATTAATAGTTGCAGAGTCATTTTCAAACAGTTGTAATGATGGATGCAACACTACTACATACAACAGGCTTCTTTGTGTAATATATCTGACAAACTGAAAGGAATCATTTGTATGTGCATTTTCACACATATGTACACTCACCATCTCTCATTCCATGACATGTGGCATTGTCTCCTGCTGTTCATGTGAGTTTACAGAGTGTCAGTGTTCGGCATGGTGAGGTGAAACATTGTGCACTGAGTGAGCAGCACACAGTCCCTGCTGTTGCAGGAAGGTGCCAAAGCCAAACCCTGTCCCTCCTGTTTATTAACTCTACCTCTATTGAACCCGTTGCAGATGACATTAAAGCGTTCTTGTCGTTTGTGGGTTGTGTTTGGATGAATTTAAGAAGCTGTGTCCTACATGAAAAGAACCCATGTCATTGCTCCTCAATTTCTCCTGATTATTATCCAGACTGTCGGCAGTAGGGTGACTTTCAGACATCACTCAGACTGAATAAATGGATTGCCTTTGATTGAGAGACATTGATGAGAGCAGCGTGTCTTTTCCAGTTATTTCAATGTCTTCTTTCATCTTGTTCTGTGGTGTGAGGGAGTGTCAGTCAGGAATTTGATGCTGTCCAAGTCCCAGCTCCAGTCCAGTTGTCACTGAGGTTTCACCCTTAAGTGTCGTGAGAGAGCGAGGTTTGCCGTTCTAGTTTTCCTGCAGGTGGGGTCACGTTTCCAGTTTGTGTTAGCAGAGGTGCAACCGGACCCTGAGGAATCTCCCCACAGAGAGAGTGTAACTGAGGTGTGTGTAAGACGATTTATGAGGTGGGACCACCTGTTGTGAGACACTCCCTGAATGATTGAGAGTGGGGTTGTTTGTTGTAACATCAAGACAAGAAGAAGAAATACAGGGGTTGATTGCTGAGTCAGGATTTGCAGTAAGTTGAAAGGTGCCCCAGTCACTGTCCCACTGACCCCCCTCCAGTGTTAATGTTTTTGAGAGAATTAATCCTCACAGCAAATTTGATTGACAGCGAGCTTCAGTATCACCATCACTATCTCCAACATTACAGTAGAATTTTCTCTACATAATTCTCCCTCCTCCGCTCCTGCAGCCTCTATCCTGCCCTGCCCGGAGTATAAATAACCATGTGGATGAAGCAAGTCTCAGCAAAGCCTGGCGCTGTGGTACATCAGCACTTTGGAGAGGGCCAGGGATTATTTGGTTTTCTTATCTTCTTCATCTCTCCGATGATGTGGCTGCTGCTGTCTTATGCTGTGGTCAGGAGGTTGCTGCAGCAGCAGCGTTTGTACTTATCTCAGCTGATGGTATATATGTTATTTTTCTCCATGCTCCAACGGGGCATCCCACTGAAACAGAAAATGGCTTGCAAGCAAGACACCTGTTGCTAGTTCACTTATAGGCAAGATATCACAGTTATTGTCACGTCCTGCCCACGTCTGGGTTAAGCCCCGCCCATTCGGACTAGGGATGCGGATACAGATAATTTAACTGGTTAAACAGATACAGATAAAGGCTTACCCTGCTGTCCCCATCCCAGAATCTCTTTTTTGTTCATTGTATTAGATAATGTTGTTCTCATTGAATAAAAAACACCAGAGCTGATCAGAGTTTTATAGGTGTGATTAGAAAAGCAACACATAGCCATATAGATTGTTGCGAGCCGATTTACAGATACATCAGCCTCTAAAATCAACATTACATACTAGGGCTGGGCGATATGGCCAAAAATGTTATCACGATAAAAGGTTTCAGATTTGATGCCAAACAGTGGATCACTTCACAAATCTGAGGTAGAACATTCAAAACAATTATGACAAAACAAACACAAGCTTTTTTCGGTCCTTTTTCCTCAACAAAATAACCATCTTAATAAAAAACTAGAACTGCAAGCAGTTGTAAGCGGGGTCCAAGCCTCCCGGCGCGACCCACCACCCCCGGCCCCGCGGAGGGCGCGCAAGTCGGCCCGGGCGCTCCGCCGTCGTGCCGCATAAGGCCCCCACGTTTGGTGTTGATGGGCCGTTCCAAACAGAGGCAAAACGTCCTGCCTTTGAAAATGGCATAGGAATTAATGGGATTTAGTGAGAGATTTTTTTCGCTTTTATCGCCACCTAGAATCTGAATTGAACGAAATATTTCAGGTGTCATCAGAGGCCCATGGGGAAGAATTGACCCAAAGTTGGTATGAATGGGAGTTGTGGTTGCGGAGATATAAAATGCATGTAAGTCAATGGGATTTTTTTGAAAAGCGCCAACTAGGGGCTAACTGTACCAAATTTTGCACAGGCTCTCAGGGGGGCATGCCACATAAGGTCCTCAAGTTTTGTGTTGATCAGCCTTTCCAAGCCTGAGATATATTATACTTTCTGTTTTTAGCATTTTCGCAATTATTTGTTAGCTTGCAATTGGGACATTTTTTGTCAGATCAAAATTCTCTCTACAAACTTTCTTTGGCTCGGTCCAGAGATGGTCTGTGCCAAGTTTCGTGTCGATTGGACTTGCGGCTTCGGAGGAGTTAATTAAAATAGGTTTTCCAGTTTTCGCGATTTCGCAAACTGAAAACGTCATCGCACAGAGGTGTGTTCTATACCATCGGAATCGGCAGCATCCCCCAAACACGTAGACGTAAGGTTTATGAATGTGCAAAGTAGTGAGCCGTAGTTATCCTGCAAAATGGCCTTTGGTTGAAAATCTCATTGAAATGAATGGGGTATTTGAGCTTCGATTATAGCGCCACCTTTTGGCCGAATTGCACCAAAGGTGTCATCAGGGCCCCATGGGGAACAATTGACCCAAATTTGGTGTCAATCGGACTTGTGGTTATGGAGATATAAAATGCATGTAAGTCAATGGGATTTTTTTTGACGTCTTTAATCTGCAATAACAGCGCCACCTATGGGCATATTTGGGTGAACATTGGTGCCTTTAGTAAGGGGACCATGCGAACAATTCAGTTGTGGTTTCATGTCAATGTGACTTCTGGTTATAGGAGGAAAAATTTTTTGGGATTCAATAACGCCACCTAGGGGCGAGTTGCCCCAAATTTTGCACAGGCCCTCAGGGGGGCATCCTACATTAACGCTCCAAATTTGGTGTGGATCGGCCATTCCAAAGCAAAGATATGACATCATTTGCTGTTAGTAGCGTTTTTCGCAAACGTTTGCTAGCATATAATTGCGAAAAATTTTTCGGATCAAAATTTCCTCTACAAACTTTCATCAGCTTGGTCCAGAGATGATCCATGCCAAGTTTGGTGTCGATCGGAGTTGCGGCTTCGGAGGTGTTAATTAAAATAGGTTTTTCAGTTTTCGCGATTTTGTGGAAAAAAAGTTTAGGTGGAAATGGGCGTTGCCTATACCATGAGATTCAGCTTGATCCCCTGAACGCATGGATATAAGGGTTTTGATATACGCCTTCGTAGGCGGGAGTTCCAAGCCCAAACGCATTGACCTTGCTTATAGTGCCCCCTAGTGGTAGAAGTGTGCGGCCTGAGTTACTTGCAGGGGCTTGTACCTAACCTATGAGTTTCGTGCCCCTAGCAGTTAACGTCTAGGCTGCAGTAGTGAATTAGCCCCACTCGGACTTGGACCCCTAATTAAGTTCTAATTTGTGTATGATTTAAGTGAATAAAATCAAACATTTATTGAATATTTATTGAACATTTGTTATATATATAAAAAAATTCTATTGCAATAATTATTGTTTTATTGTCCAGCCCTATTACATACATTAGACCTGCATTAATACATTTTTTGGGCCATTTGGGGGAGCACAACATGCTGTTAATCCGCTGTAGTAAGATGGGTGAAAACAGCTGCTGAAGGTTAATAAGAGCAGTGAAACTAAATCTAAACAGTAAAGTTGTGGTTCATAAAACCAAAACAATGTGCTGAAAGATGCTTAAGTGTTCTCTGAAGCTGAGGGGAACTGCACAGTAAGTGCAGCTTTAACTGCTCTACAAACCGCTACTGCGTCCATGTGAACTGAACAAGGATATGACTCACTATTGAGAGATTAGAGCAAGACAAAACACCTTAACAAACAGGAAGTGGCTAATATAAACACAATGTGACACTAAATAATGAAGTGAAAAACAAAGGGCAGTTCAACTTTTTGATTATTATATTACAATTGTTTCTCAAAATCTAAGTGCTGAGTTTAGGGCTGCAACTAACATTTATTTTCATTATCAATTAACCTGCTGATAATTTTCTAGATAAATCCTCATTTGGTCAGTAAATTGGAAAGAATAAAGGAAAAAAAGAACCCAAATATTCTCAATTATCTGTCACATAAGAAAAAGAAAAGCAGCAAATTCTCACTGAAAACAGGGAATGTTTGGTATTTTTGCTTGGAAAATGACAACAGATTATTAAAATAGTTGCTGATTAATTTTCAGTCAGTCATCTAATCGATCAGTCGACTATTTGTTTCAATTAGTTAAGACAAAAGCTTACATGAACATGTCTACAGTGTTCAACACAGACTAACAGAGTGGGAAATATGTTCTCCATCTGGATCCCTGTATCTTTTGTCTCATCACCAGTGGCAACGGTAGGGAGGAAGGTGAAATCAGCTGCACCACAGCATGATCATGGCAACCATTTCAGAGGCAAAGTGCAGGGCGATTGGCAACCGAGAGTGAGCCAGAGGAACTGTGCCTGAACAGGGAGGGAGGACAGTGTTGTTTTAGCCTTTGATCCCTTTTATTTATTTTTTTATTTTAAACGAGAAGCACACCATGCTGAGGTGGCAAAGCTGAGGAGAGATGTGATGTTTTTTTTTTAGCTTTTACAGTTGGAAGGTTGACGATGAAACAAGATAGCTCCAAACCCTTGGGGACATGAGGATTAACATGTATTTTTTTAATGTATGTATTTTTACCGGGTAAATACTTTTTTCATGCAAACCGCAGGCAATAAAAGCATTAAAATCGACAAGCGGATTCATGAAGGTAGAAAATATCTAGTAGGAAACAAATGAAGATTTGACAGCTGACGTTTTTTTAATATGGAACATTTAAAGTAGTGGTTCCCAATCATTTCCTTGTTAAAACACAGCAATATCTACTTACACCAGTTCAACACATTCTCACTCCCAGCTCGTCACATATTGGTCAAGACCGCTTGGCATTGCTTTTTAACACCCTGGGTACCCCTTTAGTGTAGTTTTTGCACGTGTAGCGGCCAGCGGCCAAGTTAGCAATAATAACAATGCAAAGTCCAGTCAACTTTATAAATATTCAACATCCGGTTAGACTTTCAAAATAAATCTAGTGGTTAATGTTGTGAAACAGCACGTGGTTAACGATGTGAAATGTCACAGTTTGGTACGTGACTTAATTAACTTTACTTACATAACGTTTGCGTGACATAACTAAAAATAATCAATGTTGACTTCTTGTTTCACACAGGAAATGAACACTGGTCTCCTGGGTGAAAGTCCAGTTTTTGAGCCAGCTGTCAACCACCTCCTTACTCTGACTTTTCTGTAAGTTATATACTAACCTACACCTCGTTTAAGTGTTTAAAAACAACGCTAAAGGGTTTACAGTGCTTTAAAAACTGACGCCAAGAGGTCTTGCCCATGCATCTATATGTGACGTCTTATCTTGGGAGTAAGAACGGGTTGACCAGTTGGGGCCATTTGAATCAAATAGCATTATTTTAGTGGCATTCAGTAGAGGTTGGGACCCATTACTTTAAATGTTTAGGTGGTACGAATTTCTTGTTGGATCACAAAGCTACTACCACCGTTTCTTGTGTTATCAGTCATGCAGATGTATTTAAATTCATGTCTTTCCACTTGTGTTTTTGATTACAGTCTAATTAACAAGAAGAATCCCAGTGTGTGTCAGTAGTTCCTTTGCAGGCGACAGCAGTTTTTTTTTCCTGCACGTTGAATTCCAGTTTAAAGTAGTTGACCCGTGTGTCTTGTTAACCAGACTGTAGCAGAAAATGAAAGAAAAAGACCTGCCGGCCAGACTGGTGCACAAGGTGTGGATGACGCACGACAAGTGCAACAGTGTGTGCAGTAGCGCCTGGAGCTGTGTGCTCTCTGCTGATAACTAAAGTATCAATGTAGGAGCTATTTCCATCAAATACAGTGCAGCCAGAAATGTCACATTACAGTTCCTATAATATCTTTTTCTCCCTGAGCTGGGCCGTGCATCTTCATGTTACAGCTCATAAACGCAAGATAATTTTGATCATCCTTTTTGGAAAAAGAAAAATGGAATTAGATTAAGAAACTTGAGACAGTTCCATGCTTAAATTATCAACACACTTTGGTATGATAGTTCAGAATAAGATTACTTTCCATCCCACTGTTTGGTGCCATCCAAAGCGACATTCACCGTGGCAGTAGACAGAGAGACGAGAGATGTAATCTGTATGTGAGGGCTGCGGATGGATGAACATGAGATGAGGTGAGTGTATGCCTCCAGGGGGCCTGCACTCACATAGCACAGGGAGGCACGTCTCGGTGTGTAGCATGGAGGCCACTCGACCTGAATGTAGCGAAACAGACAGTAGAGATAGACTGGTCTCTCTAGCTGAGATATAAACACGTTACATCTGTCAGTGGATTCATGAAAACTCTTGAAAAAGGACTGTGGATCAGTGGGTCACAGCAGCGTGTTTTTGAATTAGTTAACTGTTGTGACTGATATGCAATTGTTTTGTCTGTTTTTTTGTTTTTTTTTATTTGAATAAAAGAAAAGGATTGTAGCACTCTTGCTTTGGAGTCTTTGCAGACAGCAGAGATGTTACTCATCCTTGTGAAGTATTTGTCTGTTTGTCAGCCTGAGTGCTCAGCCTGCAGTGACACAGAAAAATGTTTAATTTAGATTGAAAGTGAAATCTGTTTGTGTGTTTCAGGAGCTCTCTGGCTGGTCTCGCTGCACTACTATGACACTGAGCTCTTGAAGGTTTTGCTTTTTTTGTTTGAATTCACCAATTCTCTTGAAGCCCACTTGATTCCTCGATGGGTTCCCGCAGCCAAGGCTTCTTCCACCACCACCACCACCATCGTAGCTCCATGGTGCCCACCGCGGTGCCGAGGCTGCTGGCTGAGAACGGCAGCCTGCTGGGGGGCATCGCACAAATCACCCCCAATCTCTTTCTCAGCAGAGGGAACGTGGCATCCAACCGCAGCCTGCTGTTGTCCAAAGGCATCACCTGTGTGGTCAATGCAACCATCGAGCTCCCCAACTTCAACTGGCCTCACATGGAGTATGTAAAGGTCCCTTTGGCGGATATGCCCCACTCCCCCATCTCCTTGTACTTCGACAGTGTGGCAGATAAGATCCACAGCGTTGGACGGAAACGAGGGGCAGTGCTGGTGCACTGTGCAGCGGGGGTGAGCCGCTCAGCCTCATTGTGTCTGGCGTACCTCATGAAGTATCACCGTGTGTCTCTGGCCGAAGCCCACGCCTGGGTCAAAGCTCGCCGCCCTGTCATCCGGCCCAACGGCGGGTTCTGGCGCCAGCTCATCGAGTATGAGAGGAAGCTGTTTGGTAGGAACTCTGTTAAGATGGTGCAGACGCCCTACGGGGTCATACCTGATGTTTATGAGAGGGACCGCAGATGCCTGGCTCCGTACTGGGGCCTGTGAGAGATCCACAGTGAGGGATCGAGGAGGAAAGCGAAGATGAGCCCTCTTGCCCTTCTGGACTGCAGGTTCATGCGTGTTCAGGACAGGCGAAGTGAGACACGTGTGAGTGTACATCTGTGTGAAGCTTATTTAATGAATACTGGTGCGACAGAGGGAGTCAAACCAAACACTGGTTGTTGATGGTGCTGCTGTTCGTCCAACCAGTTGCCTCCATTTAGTCTTTGAGCAGGAGTGAGGCGACTTCAGGGTCAGAATCCTTAAGACCAGAGGATCGATTGGGACCACACTGATGTCAGACACCAAAACAAGATGAAACGCTCAGTGTGGAAGTCGGTGCTGTCTATCTCCTGGTCTGGTTCTAGTTCCAGGGAGAGGACGAGCACTCTGTGATGGTGTTAGCTGAGAATCCCCAGCTCTGACAGCAATGTAACTGAAGCCCTTTCCCTGACGTGATGTCATGTGGTGGTATTGTGCCAGTTTTGCAGTAGTCTTTAGTGTGAGGGCAGCAGCATGCTCTCAATTTATGGTAGCATTTAAGATAAGTGTACAGAAAAAAATATATAGAGAAAAATTATTTTATTGGAATGTACTAATAGTGAGGAAATGCTTATGGCACACTTTAACTGAACATTTAAAGATGTTATTATAGCTACCTTTTTTAAGGTAAAAATCTAGAAGCTATAAGCTAAAAGTCAAGGATTAGGGAAAGTTCCTGTGTACCACAGGGTTGACTGTTCCATCCTGTGACCACACTATGTTATTGTAGTGCTATTTGATGCTGTATTAAAAAAATATTTGTCACCTCAAGGGAACTGGTAGCTCTATTTTAAATCCAGCATTGTTTCGCAGTCTTCTTCTTTACTGCCTTTGTGGGCACGTTACTGTGTTTCTTGGCATATTATGGCCTCCTGTAGATCAGTGGAAAAATGTGAACTCTTCATGTGTAGGCATTCTTGTGCACATCCTCATGCACACACACAATACAAACAAAACAGGGACCCACTGGGCACTACTAGTGATAAAGCTAGTTAAAGAGTGAAACACTCCACAGCTAACCTTTAATTGATTCATTAAAGCATTAGAAAATGGTGAAAAATCAAACACAAAACAGCAGCTTACGGCGTGTGTTAAAACACTCACACTCATTGTACACTGATGTAACCCTGCAGCATATTGACACCTGTCACAATACACCAGTGTTCGATTTCCCAGCATCGACTTTAACCTATCAAAGGAGCTGCAGTTTCATCACATCAGCTTCCCAGATTTGGAACCTCATGGCTACCGTACAATGACTATTTCTTGTGTATGGTGTGCCCTGTGTGTGGTACAGGTGCCAATTTATATTGACGTCTTCAAATGGCTTATTTTGTCCGACAAACAGTCCAAAACATACAAAGATTTTTACAATGATGTAAAAATGAAAAGCAGCTAATTCTCACACGTTTGAGGCTGGAACCAGAGATGAAGTTGTTCACAACTGTAATAATTACAATACATCACAGGTTGCAGAATCACCCATACTATGATACCAGCATTATCATGGGTAGTGAATGTATCGTGTTCATTTTGTATTGTGATTTCTCGACTTTCCCCTACTATAGTGCAGTATAATACCACTGTTTGCTGTGGTCAGACATCTGACAGACACAGCAGTGATGTATGTGGTGTCAAGTGCAATAGAGTTGACATTTTAACCCACAGAGGTCAGTGCAACAATGCTTTTCCCCCCCAACAATAACATAATGGATTAAGTGTGATATTAATTTTTTTAAAGATAATAAAAGTTCATTGGAATGATAATTGTTTGCAAGAGAAAGATGTTCTTGTCTGGAGCACAATATTTAATCTGACTTCAAAGTATTTCATGCCCCAAGACTGTGATATTAAAATAAAAATAAATAGAGTCATGTCACTGTTTGTGTTCAAATTTAATAGAAAAATACACCTCTAAACACAGTATTTCACGCTTTTAGCGAAAACAGAATGTACATTGACTCAAAAGCAGCTAAACTAAAAAAGTTAAATCTACATCTGAGATGTTTTCATATGAATAGGTGGCAGCGTTTCCTAACGCCTCTTCATGTTCATTCTACACAGGCGTTTTCCCCAAGAGATGTCTTCAGATGTCATAGAAATGTTCTGTCATTCATTTTCATTTGCTGCAGCTACAGAGCAGCAGGCAGATATTGATGAGCGCTATTTGTCTTTTGCCCACACTTCTGAGGAACCTCCAGAGTGGTCTCCACAATGAATTCCCATTACCCAGAGAGACGAGGCTCGTCGGATGACAGGCCCACCACCGCAGAGATGCACAAGTGATGGGCTCAAATTATACACTGCACACACTATTTTCTCAGCAAAAAGATTGATATTTTTTCACTCAGTCTTCACTGTTAATAAGAGTACATGCATTAGTTTCCAGGACATAGTCAAGCGCTAAAAGTAAACACATCCTTCACCAGCAGCAGGATATTATCATCTATCATTAAAGCAGTAAGCAGAGTCATTTGCATCATCCTGAGCATCAGAGGCAGGCCAGGCTCCAGCGGTGCAGGCCATGCAGAACAAACGACGCTGATGAAGTTTGGGGAGATGACAGCAGAAACTCAACAGGATGCTTCAGACACTGGTGAATTGCAACAAACTGTTGTGGGTCACTATTGTTGTCATAGTGTATTAATTTGTTGTTTTTTTGATTAGTCAATTAATATTTAGTTTATGACATGTTCAAATGTCTTTTGTCTCACCAACAGTTTAATATATTCACTTTAAACTGATATAAAACTCCACACATTGGAGAGGCTTAAAGCAGTGGTTCTCAAATGGGGTCCATGAGGGGGTTCCAGGAGGTCCCCAGCAAAAAGGTGAATCATTTATGTTCACAATAATTGCAACCATTATAGGGTTGGGCCGATAGACGAGACTGACAGACATCACGACATTGAGCTGGCATCGTGATTTTAACCCCCCCGAGCAAAAAATAATCAAGGCAAGTTTATTTGTATAGCACAATTTAACAACAAGGTAATTCAAAGTGCTTTACATAAAACATAAAAGCAACAGGGAAATATGTAAAAGTTTAAAAGCAACATAAAATATAATAAAAGTTACAGTGTTACAATCAGGGTTAAAAGAGTTAAATGGAAAATAATAAAAAGATAAAAACAAAGAAAAAGAAAACAGGACAGTAAAAATTACAGTGCAGTGTAAGTTATCAGTAAAAAGAAAAATCTTAAATATTTTATTAAAAGCAATGGTAAAAAGAAAAGTCTTCAGTCTTAATTTAAAAGAACGTCTCGGGTTATGTATGTAACCCTGGTTCCCCGAGAAGGGGAACGAGACACTGCGTCGGTTACGACACTATGGGAACGCCTCTAGGCGTAGCAGGTCTGAACGTGAATGAAATCATTACCAATCCTATTGGTTTGTTGCTAGAACAGTAAGGCGTGATGGAATAACCGGAGGAGTATAAAGCACACCTGTACACACTCATCATTAGCTTAAACTATGAAGCAGGCGCTTCAGGCGGGGAGAGAGGTGCGGCGGGCCGACGCAGTGTCTCGTTCCCCTTCTCAGGGAACCAGGGTTACATACGTAACCCGAGACGTTCCCCTTCGAGGGAACTCGAACTGCGTCAGTTACGACACTATGGGAACGAGATACCCACTAAACCGTGCCGAAAACCCCGCCTGCCCCAGTGTGCAATAAAGTGGCACGACTAAGAGGAGAGCGCACAAGTGCCAGGTGCCGAAGGAAGGTCAAGACTGTAAAACCGAATGAATGTGTGCGGAGTGGCCCAGCCAGCCGCTACACAAACATCCTGCAAAGAGGCCCCGGAAAGGAGGGCTTGAGAGGCCGCCATGCCTCTGGTAGAATGAGCCCTCACAGCCACAGGTGAAAGCAAACTGCGCACCTGATAGGCCAGGGAAATAGTCTGAACAATCCAGTTGCTAATAGTATGTTTGGATGCAGGGAGCCCAGCCCTGGGGGACCCAAAACACACTAGCAGCTGGTCAGCCTTCCTCCAACGGGAGGACTTCAGAGTGTAAATACTCAGTGCTCTGACAGGGCAGAGCAGATGAAGTCTCCCGTCCTCCGCCGTCACGAGGTGGAGGATGAAATGCCTGCAGCACTGTGGACCCTGCCGCACAAGAAGGCACTTTAGGGATGTATCCTGGACGAGGGTGCAGGATAGCCCTAATATTCCCCGGGGCAAACTCCAGGCTTTGCGGGGAACCGAAAGCGCTTGGAGATCCCCCACCCTCCTCAGAGAGGTGATAGCAAGGAGAAAGGCCATCTTGAGGGTCAAGTGCTTAGCCTCAGCTGACTCCAGGGGTTCAAAGGGGGCCTCAGCCAACGCCCCAAGAACCACCGCCAGATCCCAAGTGGGAACCTTGGACCGAGTCGCAGGTCTCATCCTCCGGGCACCACGGAGGAAACGTAAAACCAAGGGAAGTTTCCCCAAAGACCCCTCCCTCAGAGGGGCGTGGAAAGATGAAATAGCTGCCACGTACACCTTGAGGGTGGAAGAGGAAAGACCAGCAGAGAACCGGTCCTGGAGGAACTCAAGCACCTGAACCACTGGGCAGGTAACAGGGTCCACCGACCGCTCCCTACACCAAGTGGAGAAAACACTCCACTTCAGGCGGTACATTCTCCGTGTGGACGGGGCCCTGGAGCTGAGGAGGGTCTCGACTGCTCCGGCTGTTAGACCCGCCTCTAGGTACTGTGCCCCCTCAGGGGCCAGACCCACAGTCGCCATACGGCAAGGGTGAAGAACCCGGCCCTGCGCCTGGGACAGCAGGTCTCTCCTCAGAGGGACGGCGGGCCGTCCAGGAGCAACATGATGTCCGAGAACCACACCCGGGTTGGCCAGAACGGGGCTACGAGCAGTAGGCCGACATTGTCCTGGCGGACCCGCTCCAGAACCCCCGGGAGCAGAGCGACTGGGGGAAAAGCGTACAGACGTAGCCTCGGCCACGAATGTACCATGGCGTCCAGATCCAACGGGGCTGGAGGAACGAGAGAAAATCATAGCGGGCAGTGCGTAGTCTCTTGAGACGCAAACAGATCCACGTCTATGGGGACGAACTCTCTGCACAAGAGCTCCACCACTTCGGGGTGAAGTCTCCATTCCCCGGTCCTCAGCCCCTGCCTCGACAGCAGGTCTGCTCCCTGATTCTGCGTCCCCGGGAGATACATCGCCCTGAGCGATAGTAACCTCTGCTGGGACCACAGGAGGATCTGACGTGCCAGTCTGTACAGAGGGCGCGAGCGCAGACCGCCCTGGTGATTCAGATAGGCCACCACCGCTGTGTTGTCTGATGCACCTGCCAGGATCCCCTTATAAAGCGGCCGCCAATGACCGCGCCCCAGTCCATGAGGGAGGCGTCTGTCGAAATGACCAGCCGGCGACAAGACCCTCCCAGCACGGGCCCCTGGGACAGGAACCAAGTTTCCTTCCAAACTGGTAGGCAACGAAGACACTTGCGCGTAACCCCAGTCTGGATGCCGCCTGACTGCAGACCCTCGGGGCAGGCAGTACGGCGTGGACTCGATGGTGGCAGGTGCGTCCCGAACGTGTAAACGGCGAGATAACATCACCCGTTGCCACGGCGGAGGGGACTTCGGTGGGACTTTGGTCGGCCTCCGGGGGGGTGGGGGGGTGCTGGAGGGGAGAAAAGACTCCCCTACCCCGGTCTTCAGGACCTCTTCCCTGAGCTCCGTCGGGATTGGATGACGGTCCTCAGATCGCGTCTCTCAGAAGGCTGAGGTTGAGAGCGCCGCCTCGCTGCCCCAGCTCCTCGGGGGGGGCCCCGAGAAACGACACTCTGCTTCCTCTCCCCTCGGTAGGAGCTCGTAGAGGGAAGGGACCTACGCCTGGCAGCCTCGGCTGCCTTGGGTCCAGACCGGCGAGGGAGGTATTGGTGGAACGCTTCGCCCTGCGTCTTAACGTGCTGGAACCGATCCACCACCGAGTCCACCTGTATGGGATCATAGTCCCCTGGTGAAATGGTTATGTAAATCTGTGTGTCATCTGCATAATTATGGTAACATATTTTGTTGTTTTTCATAATCTGAGCCAGTGGAAGCATGTAAATGTTAAACAAAAGAGGTCCCAGAATGGAGCCTTGGGGAACTCCATGTCATTTTTGTCAGCTCAGATGTGTAATTACCTATAGACACAAAGTAGTCCCTGTCCTTTAAGTAGGATTCAAACCAGTTTAGTACTGTGCCAGAAAGTCCAACCCAGTTTTCAAGTCTGTCTAGTAATATGTTGTGGTCGACCGTGTCGAATGCAGCACTGAGATCCAATAATACTAAGACTGAAATTCTGCCACTGTCAGTGTTTAAATTGATGTCATTGAAGAACTTAACAAGAGCCGTCTCAGTGCTGTGGTGTGGTCGAAAACCTGACTGGAAGACATCAAAACAGTTATTTAGTGCCAAGAAAGCATTAAGCTGTTGAAAAACAGCCTTTTCAATGATTTTACTTAAAAATGGGAGATTTGATATGGGCCTATAATTGCTCATTAGTGAACTGTCTAGATTGCTCTTTTTTAAGAGTTGCTTAATGACTGCAGTTTTCAGGGCCTGTGGGGAAAAAACCTGAGAGGAGAGACATGTTGACAATTTGTAGTAAATCTGAAGCCATGCATTTAGAAACATTTTTGAAAAAACCTGTTGGCAGAATATCAAGGCAGCATGAAGAGGATTTCAGATGTTGTATTATGTCCTCCAGGTTTTTATGGTTAATAGAATCAAATTGTCTCATGCTATATGTTATATATATGTTTTTAAGTGGACACAGGGACAAGACATATCATGTTACTGATATAGAGGCACTGATTGCTTGTCTAATTGTTTGAATTTTGTCTGTGAATAAGGTGGCAAATTCATTGCAGGC